TGTAGCAAATTGTCCATTGACTGCACTGTTAGTAGGACTGCTTGTTTATGGAAAAAAACAGAAACAGTTTATATCCTTGAACTTTAAATCCTTAAAAAAAACGACTATCTTGTTTTCATGATCATTGGAAGCCAAGATCTTAATCTTGTGGTTAGGACCTGCTACACATGAAAAGACCTCAAATTTATGCGTTCTTGTTTATTGATAACTTTAAAATGGCGATAATCTATAAACTTGTGTTAGCAATGGATCACATACATGTATGTGAATTGAGTCCCTGCAGTCGTAGCAACAAGTCAAGTCTTTTTTTTTTTTTGGTTTAATGCCCTGCAACTTTCTCGTAAGGTTGATTTCAGTCGTAGCAGGCAGCGGTTTTCAACACGCTCGGTAGGCTACCTGCCAGGCACGGCAAACTGACGAAGTTAGCAACAAGCTCGTGAACGCAGGGCAAGTGGAACATTAGCTAGCAGCAACATAATCATGTATTTGCCTCAGGACTTGGTGGTTAGCAAACAGCACTTAAAGAGTAAATATTTGACTCACATGACTTAAAGTAATAGTTTCGTTTTGCTATGTCTGGTTTCTGCCGTGTAAGTGGGTTTACACAAGTTAACAATATCAGCTGATAGGATGTGTTTACAGTAAGTGCTGGTTTTGGTTCCACCTTGTGAGTCTGTGCGTGTCATCGTGGCAACATGTGGTCTCAGAGACACCTACCCCAGAGGTGATTTGGAGGGCTTTGCCAGGTGTTTTTCTGCCTGTCTGTCTGATAATGGACAGATAATGTCCATGGGATAGCGCCACAACCGTGCAAGATACTGTCATGAAATTTTACAGTTGTGTAGTTTAGATCACCACCCACATTTGCTTTAGTCATGGCTGGTGGGATTTCATTGCAAGATGGTCTCTGGTTCAACAGCATCCCGAGCTCCAGGCTCAGGCCCGCCTCTGGTGCTAGGACACATGGTGGTAAATCACTGATAGGGGCCTCTCAATTAGAACAAAAGATGTCAGATTTCTTGGAGCAAAAGAATTGTAGTCTTTATTTGCGAAATAAAATCTATCTGACGTGACTCATAGAAAGGCATAGATCAATGATAATAACTTGGATACTGGACTGGACCCCAAGATGGTGCCTATTCAGTCCAATGGAGTTGCTCACCTGGCGCATTCGTCAAAAGAAGTTTCTAGCTTCTGGGTTTACTTTTGTGTTATGTGACCCACTGAATATGAGCACTAGTTGGTCTCCCGCTAGCCTCAACCTCAAGTTTCTGCTCGGCTCGTAGACTTTGTGATTGCGACGATGTCACAGATTTTTAAAAACTTTTTTCTCAGCTCAAGGAAACTTTAACAAACATAAAACCTCCATGGATCAAAAGTGCATAAAAGAAAGAGCCATAATGACCATGTTTGCAGTTCGAGTTGTCCTGGTGGTGGTCTATGGGGAAAATGTTTTTTCGGCTGCAGGGGAGTTCTCTGTCGCAATACAATGAGTGGCCACTTGGAGAAATTGGAAGCAAGGCTGACCTGCATTCCTAAGGGCCTGGACTCAGGCAGACATAATGTTCACGTCCAACTGAAGAGGTGGGCCTGAGCCTGGAGTTCTGCAGCAGACCCTTCTCCTTTAGTTGAGCTTGTAAGTGTTAAGGTTGTTTCCGCTGCCCCCAAGTGACCAAAAAAAGTTACTGCAGGTACAATAATATTCTATCTCCAGTAACTATTAAATAATGTACTGCTGCTATGACTGCATGAAACCCTGTGAAGTTATCTTTGAACATGGCACCTCATCATTTCCTCTCCCTTTTAGGAACCTAGTAAAGATACCTTACTCACCAGTGAAGTTAGGCTTGTAGTGGCCTGCTATACTGTATGACCCCGCAATATACTGTAATGACATCCTTACTCACAAAACTTTGATACTGAAAGTTTCACACCTTCCCTTTTGTAAGTAAGAGATTGAATGTATCCGTTATGTACGATAAAGCATCTCTAAAGGTTACGAAGACAATGAATACACGTGGTCAGGTCATACAGGTTTCCTTTTCATTTGATAAATGATAATTTTATAGTTGTGTTGATAGTGCATGTTATTTTATTGGAGCCACATAGTGGTTTTAAACTGAGACTTACTGTGCATGTGGTGAGTGAACAGAGAAAATGTTGGTGTAAAACACGACATGGGGTCGATAGGTGGATGACCATGAGTACAGTAGTTCAACAGTAGTTCTCAAAGCCAGGGTTTACTACACTTTGTAGTAACCTCAACAGTTTGCAATCAAAACTCTCAAACTTATAACAGTTTTATATTTTTAATTCCTGGAACAGTAGCCCAGATTTCCTTTATCGGGATCTCATCGTGCATGTGTAGGAATCTGTATTCTTTAACCTTAGAACCAAGAGAGGTGCATCAGCGTACAGGTCATCTGTTCAGAAATCGTGTGCTGAGGTCACTTTACGTTGAGAGATGAAGATGTATTTTCTTGTAAATAAAACTACAGTGCAACCTCGAAAAGTGGGCCTTGTGTATTTGTTCACCATAGAACAGACGTTTCATTGCCTGTAAATAAATGTTGAAGTGCTTACATTAGCTACTGGTTTTTGTCACATCTGTACTTCCTAACATTGAGTAGTGTATGTCAAGTTATTTATAGCCCAAGTAGGTGGTACATGTGCTCTTACCAATTCGCAGAAGCCTTGTAGAGGCGGAGTGGACATAAAAATAAACCTGTCTCAGCGAGCCAAAGATCATGACACCTCCTCACTCTGTGATACGTAGATTTGAAGTGTCAGGCTCAATACTGAAACACATCATAATTCAGATTCTAGACAGGTTTGATCTGATCCACAATTAGTACAAATGAACTCTGAAGAGGTTTTTAGTATTAAGTGTGTTTAGCTACAAACAAAAACATCAACAACTAGGCCTCTTAAATCAAGATTATCTTGTGTCTTTTTACAACTACAAAATAGACACTTTAGACCAGAGTGTAGTGTGGACTTAAGACACAGCAAGTGAGGTAGTGAAGCCATCTGCTGGTGAAAAGGGAACATCACTACAGTCACTCCTGAAATGCAGTAACATAATTTGACCACAAGATGGCGGCATGGTAATGCAGCCAAGTTCATTTAATGCGACTCTTTACTGGCATACACCTTTATTATGCCTTCTGATCATTTCTGTTAATAATATCAGATGTATATTCAAATTATACTCAAACGGAATGAAGCAGGGTTAAATTAAATGGATTTTAGTGATTGCTAGTTCATGATTTTTTCTATGGCTCCAAATTATGGTCACAAAACTTACAGAGTTCTTACAGGGAAAGGGTGTATGCTGTCCATCAGATATCTGTTTAAAAAAAACAAGCTGATGAAGTCTGTGTGGGCCTTATTCAAAACAACTTTATTAAACAATGTAGAAGAAATCATATACATAGTAGCTCCATAACTGTAAGATAAAGCAGGAAGGTTTTTTTTTAAAAAAAAAAGGCCAAATGAATCATCAAACATCATCAAACACAAATAGATAAATTACTAACAAAACATGAATTGTGCTTCACAATATCTCCTAAAGTGGTAGTTACATACTTTATATTGTTGAGTGGGGCTGCAACTATCAGATATTTTCATTATAGATTAATCTGCAGATTATTTTCTCGATTAATTGATTATGCGTTTAGTCTTTAACAGATCTGAAAATATTTTAAAATGTCCATCCCTGTCTGCCAAAGTCCAAGATTTTGTCTTTAAATGTCCTGTTTTGTTAATCCAAGATATTCAGTTTAATATGATATAAAACAGAGGCAGCATATGTCCATATTTGAGAAGCTGAAAACAGTGTTTTCTGACATTTTTTATGAAAAATTACTCTAGAGATTAATAAATTATCAAAATAGTTGGCAATTATTTTTCTGTTACTGACTAATCCATTGATCGACTAATCACAGATGAATGAAAATTTAAAACAGTTTAAAGTTTACAACATTATTTGTTGATTAATAAACATTTTCCCAACAGACCAAGTTGTTATTTTTTGTTGTTTAATTTATTTTATTTTATTTCATTTTTTTAGGGACTGTTCTTTACTAGAGAGGAAAGCCACCAGAAACGTCAGTGAAGCAGCAGAAAAAGCTTCCAGATGGTTGTGGATCAGGAGGGGTGGAGCATGGAGTAGCACGCTGCTTGGACACAAGCTGGGGACTGATCAACCCTGGCTGGGTCGCCCAGGTGAGGGTGTCTGATGATCTGAGACCCGAAACACCTCGTGACCCTGGGTTCATCACTGATGATGTGTCCACGCTGCAATAAATTCTAGGTGTTTCCATTAACTATTAATCAAAGGAAGGGGGTGGATGACTTCTTTTTTGAATGTATTTTTTTTACCCTCCCCAAAGCGACAAATATTTTGCCTTGAGCCTCCCTGAGTGACTTGGGGAAAACAAATTACCTTCCCTCCACCATAAATTAGATTTTTTAAAAGTTACCCTTTGATGTTTGACATTTAAAAGTTGAAGACGCAATCCTGGAGTTAAAAAAAAATATATTTTTTTTACTCTTTAAGTTCATTTTAACTATTAATTTGGTGAATTTTAAATCAGACATGTAGAATACAGTGATTTTGATGAGATATCACTATTTTAAGGTCAGATTTGGTTATGTGTTTTTGTAACAGAAGCAGAAGCTTTCCTCCCAGATTATGTGTTGAAGGACAAATTGTAATTTAAAAAAAGCATTCCAGCTGGATGTGGAAGGCATGTTTTCTTTAAAAAATGGTCGTAAAATAGTTGTATGCCCCTCCCCTATACCAAAATAAAAAAACACTGGTCCCTCCCCAGTGCTTAAAATATTATTTGACATGCCTCCATTTTGCACCACCCCTCCCCTCTCATAAATAACGAACAGTCCCTTATTATTATTATAACTATTATTATCATTACAGGACATGTATTGTGTTGAGTAGTGGGTGAGGTTGTCCCCCGTGTGGATTGGTACAGCTCAGGAGGAGGAGGAGTCTGGTTACGTCTCCAAAGGATCACACGCCGAGTGGATCCAGCTCGTCCGCACACTCAGCCACTCTCTGCCCGGGAAGCAGCGCAGAGACGATGCCTGTGGAGAGGTGACCACCGCCCGATACCTGAAGCTCATCTCCTCAGCTATGGAGAACAAATAAATAAGACCACAATCTGATCTTAAAACATGGCGAGGAGGCGGCGGTGAGAGCGGCGGTGGAAGCTCAGGATAGAAGCGCCTCTCTGGAGGAGGGAGAGGAGCCCACGGCGCTCTCTTGTCTCTTAAGAGGATCAAGGAAAAAGGGAAATCGAGCTATTTATAAGCGGCGGACTGTTTGGACTATCCACCGGTGACAGCAACATGAGCGGCGGGCCGGATGAGAGCTCGGTGCGCGTCGCCCTGAGGTAAGGATCCAGCTCAGACCCTCCTCTCTCCAGAGATGCTGCTCACACCTGCTACAGCCATGCATGTTATCCTGCTGTATTGTTGCTCCACCCTCCATCATTCTCCATATATTCACCTCAGACACTCCACCTGCATCAATTCTTCCTCTTCTAGCCCCAAATCCCTCCACACCACCCCTTCTTCTTTCAGTGTGCCTTTATTTTGATGCCTCCCCATGCCTGGAGGAGCTAAAGCTCACTGCAGGCTGTACACAGCACGTATAGACCAGGGGAGCATGATTACATGAGCTTATTTTGTTAATACCTGCACTGCATGTACATGCTGTGTAGTGGATTTATGAATGAAGATCTGCAGCTCTCAGGGATTACGCCAAGGAAAAGCCTGTAACTGTACCTCTGACTGTGTGTCTGTCTTCTGTGGTCACAATAACACACAGTCTGAGCATTTCTATAGAGGATAGGGGAGACCGGGGCTGGTTGTCACATTTCTTACTTTCATGTAAATCCTGCAAAAATTGTCTCCTTAGTAGATTTCCTTTCAAAGTGTCAGATAGGAACAGAGTGACCTTACTCTCTTGAAATTATTCTCTACAAAAGATATGGACTTCCCAGTTGTAGGGTTGGTAGTCGCACACTATGGTTATGGTTGTCCCTATGTCATACAGTATTTAATGAAAATAAAAAATGGAGGCAGTCTTAAAAAATGACATTAAAAAGTTTAGTTTGATTGAAATGCAACAATCTTACAAATCCAAAATGCATGTTTGTATCCCTACATAGCAATATAAAGAACAATGCCAAGAACAATGATACAGGACATATTCGACAGTCCATATCTTTTGAACAGAATAAACTTTCGAAGAGTAAGGTTACTCTGTTCCTACCTGACACGTTAGGCTTCCATTACACAATAAAAGGTAATCTTAAGGATTCAGTTTTTGAGGGGTTCGAATGAAATTAAAAATGTGATGACCAAGCCCCTGTCAGTGATTCATCCAGCCACTTTTAATACCAGAACAGTGCATGCACATTTTAGAAGGGGTGTAACAATATATATTGTGTCATTGTCCAAAGAATCAATATCATATTGCAAGGGTGTCAAACTCATCCTCTCTCACTTAGTTCATGGGCCACATACTGTGCGGCCCAATTTGATCTCCAGTGGCCTGGACCAGTAAAACCACTGCATAGCATAATACCCCCCCCCCCCCCCCCCCAAAAAAAAAAAAACAAACTGCAAATGTTTCCTTTTCTTTTTGTGTAAAAAAAAAAGTACATTCTGAAAGCATCAATCTGTTTACAAATCAGATAATGAACAGTCTGAGATGTCTCAAAAGAAATAGGTACAGTCTCAACAGTGTGTCTCAGTTTTTCCACCTTCAGTCAGTGTAATTCTCTCTATCTCGCTCTCCCATTCATTTCCACTCCTGTGTAGTCATGCTAGCATCCCCACACCAATCTCAAGTGGGGGCTATTGAGGAAGCAGGTTCAGTTATCTCCCTCCCTACAAACCATTTACAGATCTAAGGTTTTGGCAGTGCCAGTATTGTTTTAAGATAAAAGTCTGATACTGATTCTTTTGTACTAAAGCTGCTGGTTTACAATATATTGCACAGTGCTCAATATCTGAAAATATGACCACAGTATTCTGGTCAGAGTGAAAAGCCTCTGAAGCAGCATTTTGCATGATTTAAAGTTGCTCCTAAAACCTGACCTCTCAGCCGTCACAAGTGCACCAATATTAGGTGTGAAAAGTCATCCAATGGGCCTCATTGGAGCCTTTGATGGGCCGGTTCTGGCCCGCCGGAATTTTGACACCCCTGTCATATTGTATCATGATGAAACTTGTGATTTACATTCCTGCATTTGAGCGCTCTAGTTCCTCACAAAATTCCTGGCCATTTTTCTATAATTAAAGAAAGCAGTAGATATGTCACACCATTTATGTCAATGCCAACAAAGGGGAGTGACCGCTAACCCCAAAGACAAGTATCCCCAACTGGAATTTTTTGCTCGCGAGGACGCTAACAACCACACGTTGTCGCCCTCTCTTCAGATGTTTTCACAGTCATGATTGTTTTATTATAATCCCATTGTGTAAAGCCAAGAAAAGAATAAAAAAAGTCCTCTCAACTCAACGTTAATCATCTTTAATAACCCTGTAGGTGACTTTCAACCCCAATTCTGAATATTTCAGGACCAGTATTTTTTTAACAGCATTCTCTAGAGAGCGAGATCTAATGAATATGTCGTCCAACCCATGTGACAACCAACCCCGTTCTCCCCTACGAGGCTTTTTGTAGCCACATACAGGTTATTACAAAGCAGACGCTGTATCTATGAGGGGTCGACTGCGTTTCATCCATTCGCTTTCAACCATTTCACATTTGTAGTGTTTGTTAGTGTGTGTTGCAGTATCGTACCGATCTGACCTTCGCCCTCTTGACCAATCCACGCTGCCACTAACAGACAAGCTGAGACAGTCACCGTCTGGTCACTGCTTATTTCAGCACTTCTCAGAAGTGTTTGTGTGCGGAGCAGCGGCTTCAGACATCAATAGAGTGACATGATAGGGCGGCAGCTAAAGTCCAGGGCAGGTGCTTTTTGGTGTGTGTGTTTCTGTGTGTGTGTGTGTGTGTGTGTGTGTGTGTTGGAAAGACAATCTGTAATGTCATGTGAACTGGATCAGTGAGAGAGAGAGGGACAAAAGCTTGTTCCTATCACGTTTCTCTTCCCTCGCTTGTTATTGTGCATTCAGACTTTGACCCAGAACTGTGTTTGCTGGGGCAACTTCGTTTACTAGCCTGTTTCCCTCTCTGTCATAGATAATAAATAATCTGTCAGTAGCCGATATCCCATCATGCACTATGGTTCTTTAAGGCCCTAAAGTCTCATCAGGAAGATTTCATTCATAGTGTCAGATTACATTTGTCTGCCATCTTTAATAATGCAACATGAGCGTAGAGCTGCTGTTAGTTTACCGTAGACAACTTTCAAAGACGTTTTAAGCTTCAAAAGAATAAATAAACACACACACACAGGCTACACAAAGGTGTGTGTGTGTGTGTGTGTGTGTGTGTGTGTGTGTGTCTTTGAGTGGAAACTACACCTGCTATTGTATCTTCTTAGAAAGCTCAGGCTTCATTCATTATTTGTAGAGCTCCGCTGTCTTGTTTGCTAGTCGGCTTTCCACCTTTAGTCCTATTGAAGGTCAGCCGACTATTCACTGGTTTATTCTTTCATTTATTTGTCTTTCTTTCTTCTGTTTTTCAAGTCGCTCATTCATTTAATGTGGATTTTAGTCAGTAATTATTTATGACATGTTCTATGCTGACATGTTATGGGTGAAAGTTATGTGCCAATTATGTTCCTCTGTCATCAAAGGGTTGTATGACAGTATGTATGGATGAAGGTTGGAGTTGAGTTTGGTTGTTATGATACTCAAAGACAATAAGTAATCCTCACTTCACTGTGGAAAAGATCAAGATTGTAGGTAGAATCAACAGGTCAGAGCTTCTTCTGAGGTCAGCTGTGGCACCTGAAGTGCTCTGTCACTAATCCTTTATTACACACACACACACACACACGGACTGATCCACTTCCTGTCACTGAGACTCAGCTGAATTTACCTGCAAGCTCACAGAGCTCCTTAATGTTTCAGTACACTGTGTGCTTTATTTGCATGAATGAGTTCAGACCTTTCTCACAGCAGACATTTGGGCTTAAAATAAACAGGTGGAGCTAATAACATTAGCAATAGCTCATTTCGAGTGCCCTCAGAGGCCACAACAGTGAGCCAGCAAGTGCAATGCCAGAACCCAGGAACTATGACATGTCAAAATGTGTGTGAAAAAGATCTCCCTGTGGGTGCATGAGACCCTCAGAAAGAGGAGAAATCACCACCACCAGCTTATCCAGGTGCTTTGCCTGGAGGATGTTTGGGTCAAGGCTTATTTTAGGATGAGTGGGGAGCAGTTTCAGTAGCTGCTGTCAGTCGTCGGGCCTAATTAGGGCTGGTAAATATTAGCAAGTAGCTAAGGCAACAGTTTATTCAGATATGTCTTGCATCTTGTCTGAAAGTTAGTTTATCACAAACCATGTATGCTACCACTTGTCATCTTCACCATTGGAAGATCGCCTTTCAGTTAATCCGATTCAAGGGTGTAGGTTTCATTTCAACACTGGGTGGACACATATGAAACGGAGGGTTTGGGAGTCCTTTATTAACTAATTTGTGCCTTCTCTGCATCAATTTATGGTGTAAATTTTTTTTTAATTTTGTCAGAATAAAAGCCCTCTGCTACTTCCATGTGGTGGGTTTTCTCCGGGTACTCCGGCTTCCTCCCACAGTCCAAAGACATGCAGGTTAATTGGTGACTCTAAATTGCCCGTAGGTGTGAATGTGAGTGTGAATGGTTGTCTGTCTCTATGTGTCAGCCCTGTGATAGTCTGGCGACCTGTCCAGGGTGTATCCCAGCTGTTAACTGGGAAAGGCGTCAGCCCTCCCACGATCTTTAACCAGGTAAGCGTTATGGAAAATGAATGAATGAATGTATGAATGTTACTTTCATATTTTTATTGATGGAGACTGGTGCACATGTTCTACATTTTGAGGACATGTCCTTTTCATCCCTCTTGAAATCTACACCTATGATCTGACTGGACAATGGGAAAAAAAAAGGCCAATAACGTCAGGCAAGTCTCCACTCTGAGCTGAGGTTTTTCAACTCGAGGCGTTCAGGGTGCTCCAGCACAAATGCAAGGCGCCAAGAGTGTAAAAACATGAGGTGCTCAGCAACACAAAAGCAGCAAGTAAAACGTTCACTCTCATTGGAAACAATTACAAAAAGCTTCCTCAGGCTGCTAAAGCATGCTTTGGGGGCATGACTGGTACCATAGTGGAGCATTTAGCAGCTTAAGAGCCAGATATTTCCCTCAGGAGATGGCGGAGACCAAAAACAGAGCTAAAAGAAGAGTTAATGGTAGATTTTAATTAATCA